TTCTTCTTGATCTTGGTTTTACTGGCACTGAGCTGCGTCACGGCCCTGGTGCTGGTGCAGTTGGCCAACATGCCCGGGGCGGCGGCAAAAGGTGGGGTGGCAGAGACAGGGCACCAGCGAGAGGCCCCAGGCCTCCCCTGAACCAATCCCCACCCCGCTGCATCTCGGAGCCATGGTCGCGCCCGTCTATTTGTTTGCTTTTGAGACAGAATCACATTTCAAAACTCCAGACTCACTATGTAGCCCACATTGCTCTCAACTTGTGACCATTCTCCTGCTTCAGCTTCCCAAATGCTGGGATTACATGCATGTACACCATGCCTGTCTAACAGTTGTGAACAAAAGATTTTCCTTTTTGTTCTTTTTTGAGACATAGTCTCAATGTTGGTGCTTGGGGTACATGTAAAGGCAGCTCAAACCAAGCCAGAATCTGTGGTCCCATTGTAAAGAATTCCAGGATGGCCAGGCTGTGGTAGCTCATACCTTTAACCTCGGCACTCTGGAGGCAGAGGCAGGCAGATCTCTGTGATTTTGAGGCCAGCCTGGTCTACAGAGCAAGTTCCAGGACAGCCAGGGCTACACAGAGAAACCCTGTCTCCAAAAAGTGGAAAAAAGAAAAGAAATCCAGGCCAAGTCAGTCTTTGAAGCAGAGAGGAAGAAAGGTTTTCCTGAAGGTTTTTTTTTTCATGTAGGCTTCAGCAGGAGTGTTGGAGAAAAAAACACCACGGAGAAAAATACATCCTTTACATTGTGACTGTGGTCTTCTTAAAGATGATCGCTGACTTTTATGTGTTGTGTTTTGTTTTGTGACAGGCTCTCCTGTGTAGTGTTGGCTGGCCTGAATGCACGGAGACCTGCCTGTCTGCCAGCCTCTGCCTCCTGATGAGAAACTAAGGTTGTGCTACCACTAAGTCCACTGCAGCTCGTTGTTTCTGCTGCTTGGGGAACCTGGTGAGGTAAATCTAGTCCCAGAGGTGTCCTGGAGGTGGGCTATCTTCACTATAAACAAAGTTTGTTTAAGATTCATAGGTGAGGGGCTGGAGAGATGGCTCAGTGGTTAAGAGCATTGCCTGCTCTTCCAGAGGTCCTGAGTTCAATTCCCAGCAACCACATGGTGGCTCACAACCATCTGTAATGTGTCTGGTGCCCTCTTCTGGCCTGCAGGTATACACACAGACAGAACATTGCATACATAATAAATATTTTTTTAAAAAAAGATTCACAGGTGACTTCTGAGGAACTGAGGCTCTATTCAAGGTCATGTGCATTCAGGTCTTGGGCCTGGGTCCTTGCTGCTTTAGCAGAAAATATCTATGAAAGGAATACTAGCGTCATGGCCGCAGCCTTCATGGCAAATGCTATTTTTGATTACGTTTCTTGCTTCCCAGTTGGTAAGAGGTTTCAGTCAGACTCCCTTTTCCTGTCCTAGTGATTTCCCTGTCTTTCTATGTAACTCAGGCTAGCCTAGAACTCCCTCTGTAGCCCATGATCCATCTGCCTCAAGAGTCCTAAGGGCAGAAATTCCTGGGAAGCACAGCTCCCACCCACCCCCCCAAAAAAAGAGACAGGGTTTCTCTGTAGCTCTGAAGCCCATCCTGGAACTTCTGACCTTTGGTGCCTATCCTGGACTCGCTCTTGTACTTCCGGCTGGCCTCAAATTTCAAACTCACAGAGATCTGCCTGTCACTGCCTCCTGTGTGCTGGGATTAAAGGCTTGTACCACCACCGCCCAGCTATTATAGAGTATTGTTTAAACTACATTTTGGGTTTTGTTCTTCTTTTTACATTTGTTTATTATATTATTTATATTGCTAGGTATTTTATTCTGACAATTTTTTTTTTTTTTTGGTTTTTTGAGACAGGGCTTCTCTGTAGCTTTGGAGCCTGTCCTGAACCTAGCTCTTGCAGACCAGACAGGCCTCAAACTCACAGAGATCTACCTGCTTCAGCATCCTGAGCACTGGGATTAAAGGCGTACCACGACAACCGCCCAGCCAGAATATTTTTTAAGACTTATTATGTATACAGTGTTCTGCCTCTGCACAAGAGGACACCAGGTCTCATTATAGATGAACCATGTGGTTGCTGGGAATTGAACTCAGAACTTCTGAAAGAGCAGTCAAAGCTCTTAACCTTTGATCCATCTCTCCAGCCTCTGACAGAATTTTTTTTTTAAGATAGAAAGAAGTAACTTTTAGGGGCTGGAGAGATGGCTTCGTGGTTGAGAGCACTGACTGCTCTTCCAGAGGTCCTGAGTTCAATTCCCAGCAACCACAAGATCCGTAATGAGATCTGGCACCTTTTCTGAGAGCCTGCAGGGATACATAAAGGCAGAATGCTGTATACATAATAAATCTTTAAAAGACAGAAGTTGATTTTAATATCTTGATTTAGTAGCAGTATAACATTAATTAGCATTAGATTCATAGGACTGCAATTTATTTATTTATTTATTTATTATGTATACAATATTCTATCTGTGGTGCAGGCCAGAGGAGGGCACCAGAACTCATTACAGATGGTTGTGAGCCACCATGTGGTTGCTGGGAATTGAACTCAGGACCTTTGGAAGAGCAGGCAATGCTCTTAACCTCTGAGCCATCTCTCCAGCTCAGGACTGCAATTTGTTATTACTGAGAAATGCAATGAAAAACATGTTTTCTGATAATAGTGTTTCCTTACAATAATAGAAACCCCTAAAAAAGACAGGGACAAAAGTCCTGGCAAATGTAATTAAAGTCCTTGTTATTAAACATGCTTTCGGCAGATGGAGGTGGCACACGCCTTTAATCCCAGCACTCAGGAGGCAGAGGCAGGTGGGGATCTCTGTGAGTTCGAGGCCTCCCTGGTCTACAAGAGCTAGTTCCAGAACAAGCTCCAAAGCTACAGAGAAACCCTGTCTCGGAAGAAAAAAAAAAAAAAAACAGAAAAAAAACATGGGCTAAAGTGTCACCATGAAATACATTTATACTATTTATAAAAGGTAAAAGATATGCTTGTTATGGTTTTGAATCTTTAGAATTGACCAGATTGGCCAGATGCAGTGGTACACTCCTATAACCCCATCATTTACGACATAGTGATGGGTAGATCAAGAATTCAGGCTCACAAAGTCGAGCCATGATGGCACACACCTTTCATGCCAGCCCTTGGGAGGCAGAGACAGGTATATCTCTGAGTTCGAGGCCAGCCTGGTCTACAAGAGCTAGTTCCAGGAAAGGCTCCAAAACCACAGAGAAACTCTGTCTGGAAAAAAGAGTTCAGGGTCAGTTGGGTGGTGCTGGTGCACTCCTTTAATCCCAGGGCTCAGGAGACAAAGGAGGGAGATCTGAGTTCAAAGTCAACCTGTCCTACAGAGCAGGTTCCAGAAAGGCCAGTGCTACACAGAGAGCCTGTCTCAAAACAAAAAGTCGAGCTTCATCTGCAGCTACAGGAGTTCAATGCCTGTTAATGTCTCCATGAACTATACATAAAAACCTGATTGCTGGTCCATGGCTTTAATCTCAGCATAGGCAGGCAGAGCCAAGTTGAAGCCAGCTTGGTTTACATACCAAGTTTCAGGTCATCCAGAGCTACACAACAGGATGGATTATTTCTCAAGAAAACAAAATTAAGTAAAATCACCTGCATTCTATTTGCTTTGGTGCTGAGGTTCCAACCCAGGGTCTTGTGCATAAACTTACCATTATGCTACATCCTAACCAAAGTAAAACTCTTCATTTACACCTATCTGGACCTATTCATTTACGCACAGGCACAGGCACGAATCTGGTTCTTCATATCTGGAATTCACAATGCCCGTTTTCACATAATGTAAGAGAAGGAAGAATAGCTCACCAGAAAACCAAGCACACTCACTTTTGATCCTAGCACTTGAAAGGCAGAGGCAAGCAGATTCTCTAAGCCAGCCTGGACTACAGTGAGACCCTCCCTCAAAAAGAAAAGAACATGGCCACAGAGAGGTTCCTTAAACTCGGTATCCCATCCTCAATCATCTCTAGACTCAGCTCTATCACCCAGAACACAGGACCTGCTGAACAGGTGCCCACGCTTTGCCCCCCCCCTCCTCAGTACATCTCCTAGAATTGTGATAACCTGGTTTCTCACTGTGCAGCTCTGGCTGGTCTAGAACTCGCTCTGTACACCAGGAGTACCCTGAACTTCCAGAGATCTGCTTGCCCGGGATTTCTGAGGGCTGGGATTAAAGACATACAGCGCCACAACCCTGCCTCCTGGCTTTTAAATATTTATTTACTTATTATGTATACAATATTCTGTCTGTGTGTATGTCTGTAGGCCAGAAGAGGGCACCAGACCTCATTACAGATGGTTGTGAGCCACCATGTGGTTGCTGGGAATTGAACTCAGAACCTTTGGAAGAGCAGGCAATGCTCTTAACCACTGAGCCATCTCTCCAGCCCGCCTCCTGGCTTTTAAAATGAAAAATGTCACAATTACTGTCTGCTGATAGCACTACCACCTGAATGTTTCTGCACGAATGTGTAGCATTCGGCTGCCTCCACCTCAAACTTCTGAGACTCAAACCACATTCTCTTCAACTTCAGGGAATTCAGATGACCCAGAAAAGTCCTGAAGAGCACAGCACTACAGGCCCACTTCCCACAATGTCCCTCCCAGAGTGACACTAGCCAAAATTAAACAGTTAACTAGTGACAACTCAGGATAACCAAATGGATCCTTCAAAGCAAGTTTCGCCAAATAACCAAGTTTCAAACCCCAGGTCCACTCAAGGCACCACAAGTAAAGTAGCAGGCTGAGAATCATTGGCCCTGCAAGGCAGCCCCATCTCTGCCAGAGGTACAGGGTTAAGGAACAAGGGAAGTATTGGATCCTGTGAGTGCTGGGGTGGGGACCAAAAATCCAAGAGACCCCATCCTCCTTGAGAAAAGAGGGAGGGTTTCCAACAGCCTTGGCTGATAAAGAACCCTGTTCCTTTTCTATCATTCAAACATCACACTTTGGAGGATGCAGCTCTTTATTGGAATATTTTCAATTGTGTTTGCAAACATTAACACTGGGGGAAAACAAAGTCTTATTCAATCGGAGCCTGCTGGGTAGCAGCATCAGCCTCCTCTACCTGAGCCTTAGCGGCCCTCATAGGAGACAGCTGGGTGGAGGCCGCATCAACCTCCTCAAGAGGACACTGGGTCTCATCCTCTGGAGAAAGGTCCTCCTCTGTGTCAGAAGAAAAGCAGTAGAAGGACACCGGTAAGGACAGTCACCCTTGGGACCTTGGGGGGCCAAATGTTCCCAAACACAGGACTCTAGTCTCCTACAACATTTCTGAAACCCACTTTCCCCAGGGGATCCCTCCCAAAGAGCCAAGGTTTGTCGGGCAAGACAGCCCTATAACTCCCAGTCCATACCTTGCCTCATTCGCGGGCGGAAATAGTTGACCAAGTTGGAGATCATCTGGGAAACGTCTTCTTGGTAATAAGGAGGCCCGAATATTAAAATCTCTGCATCATCTTCAGGACGCCAATGGGTCACTTGAAGCAAGGTACGTGATGTACTCTCGACATGTGGGATGTACTCTCCATCCTTGCCTGAGCAGGGAACAGGAGGAACATGAGGGTGAGGTGGCTCCCACTTCTTGGCACATTCATTCAGAGGTTGAGGCAGCTGGATAGAGGTGGCACAGGCCTGGGGCCACAGCCACTGGACAGGCTCTCTCTATAGGACATACTCAGGCAAAGGAGTCAGGAAAAGGTTACCTCTTGCCTTGCCTCCTCAGGTCACTCACCAAATATCGCTTCCACAAACCAAGGATTCACGTACACTGTTTCTGGATCATCCAGATACTCGGTCTGGAACCACTCTGGCAGCGTGCTGGAGTCTCCGACCACTTCAAATATGGTCCCTTCTTTGTGCTTCAGCTGGACCAGCGACTTATAAGTCTTAAAAGGGACCATGGTGCACGAGTATCGTCACAAACAGCCTAGGCAACTCCAAATCCAGTAAACCCAAAAGAAGCCTCTCTGGAGAGCTGTATTTCAAGGGCTGTTTGCTAGCCCCTCCCCCATTGTCCTTCCAATTGGCTCTTAGGCCTTGCTTCCACTCCCAGGAGCACTGCCTCTCCTCACCTGGTCTCCTGTGGTCTGCACCTGAGAGGGAAGCCTTGCACCTAGACTGGTTTCTGATCTTCAGGAGCTTGTTGGTGCTGGGGCTTAGTAGCACATGTCTTTAATCCCAGCATTTAAGAGACAGAGAGGCAGGCTGATCTCTGTGAGTTCGAGGCCTGGTCTACAGATAGAGTTCCAGGCCAGTCAGTGCTTGCTGCACAGAGAAACCCTGTCTCAAAAAACAAAACAGACAGGGCAAAAAAAATATGTGTTGGGAAGCAGCAGACATCCCAACTGTGAACACAGGGCGTTGACAACAGTCCACCCAACATCAAGACAGACTCTTTTTTGTTTTAATGTTGATTTTTTAATTTATTTATTTATTAAAAATTTCCACCTCCTCCCTTACTCCCATATCCCTCCCACTCTCCCCCCTCCCACTCGGGACAGACTCTTACCAGACCTCAAGCCCAATTAAGTCTCACATATTCCCTATACCTTAGCTCTGAGTGAGTTATCTGCCCCTAGTAACAAGTTTCCACATCTTTTTTCTATTTCCTTTGGTTTTTGCTTTGTTTTGTTTTGTTTTTGAGACAGGGTTTCTCTGTAGCTTTGGAGCTTGTTCTGGAACTAGCTCTTGTAGACCAGGTTGGCCTCGAACTCACAGAGAAACACCTGCCTCTGCCTCTGCCTCTTGATTGCTGGGATTAAAGGCGTGTGCCACCACCACCTGGCTTGTTCCTTTGGTTTTGAGACAGGGTCTTGCTAAGTACTCTGCCAGGCAGGGATCATGACATGCTGCGGTCCATTAGGCTTCCCAATTTCTTTTACTTTCAAGAGACAGCTGGGCAGGGACAAGAGAGAACACCTGTAGTGAAGACAATGCCACACACGTGTCTTCCTAACTAGAGAGATTATTTGTAATGCCTCCTTTCTCTAAACAACAGAATTACATTTCCATTTAGTTTCCTGTGCACTTTGCTTATTTGCTGATATTTAAGAAAATGAAATAATTTGTCGGGTAGTGATGGGGCACACCTTAGAGCCCAGCACTTGGGATACTTGGGGTAGAAAGATCTCTGTGTAAGAAAAAAAAAAAAGGAGGAAGATAGAGAAAGAAAAAAAGGAAGGACAGAGAGAGAGAAAAAAAGATGGAAAAAAGAAAGAAAGGAGAAAGAGAGAGAGAGGAAGGGAGGGAGGAAGGAAGGAAGGGAAAACGAGATCACCTCCTGGGGTCAGCAGTCTAGGCCTCATCCCCAGCCAGAAGAAACCCCAGAACCCAGTCAGGCTCTTCTTTATCTTCTCTGCATGGAGGGTCTAGGCAACTGTAGGTATTTAATACGCCCCAAAGGGTCCTGAGATGGGAACAGAATAGGAATTAAGAGGCAGAAGAAGACAGAACCCATTCAGATAACCAAAGTGGACCTATAAATGTGTGTGTGTGTGTGTGTACATGTGTGTGTTGGTATTATGCAATAGTGAGTGTTGGCACCCTGGGGAGACCAGAAGCATTGGATCCCCCATAGCTGGAGTTACTAGCAGCTGAGTCACCTGATGTAGGTGCTAGGAGTCAAAACTCCTCCGAGTCCTCCCTCTGTAGGAGTACATGCTCTTAACCATTAGAGCATCATTCCAGCCCCTGAAAAGCTCTTGACAGCAAAAGCTCCACTGTGATACAGATATATGCACAAACTAGTGAACTGTGCACATCGTAACACAAGAAGATCCTTGTACTTTTATTCCAAAGGTTATTGAATTCATTTTGGGTCTCTTTGCGTTTTTAAATTTTTTTAGCTACCTCTCAAAATTGTAAACAATATACCAAAAAAAAAGAAAACCACAAAAAACAAACCCCCACAAAACTCAATGTTATACAAGTTGGATCTGATAGTTGCATGATAAGATTGTTACACTTTTCATGCGCATAATAAGATCAATAAGATCAGCCAGGAACCTCGCCTTCCAAACTTAGGGCTACTGGAGTAGATCTGGATTTTTCACCCTTGATTGTGAGGTGGGAAATCACATCCAGATATTATTCCTATATAAGCCTCTCCTAAATTAAAACATTTCTTCTTGAACCATTGGTTCTGAGTACTTCCCCAGACCATTGTGGCTCTGTTACCCAGAACCTTATCTATACTCTTCTTGGGAAGAAGTGGGGTTCCCACCTGCCTCACCAGAAGGTCTTTGACCCAATGTGACACCCTAGAGAAAGAAGCCCAAGACTGCTTCCTTTAGCGCTGGGTAGAGAGGACACCACACAATGGCTCCTGCTCCCTAATTTGAGCTTGGCTAGATTGTGAGGCAGTCACAGGAAGTCAACTATTCACCCGAGATAGTTCCGCAAACCTGTTTCACATCGTTGGGGTTATCTACACATTTTCCATCTCATCCTAAATTCCTGATTCCTTCTGAGGGTTGGGAGGAGGCAGGAATGTACCTCTCCCAGTGCAAGCCAACAGGGCCATTTTCCTTCCTGGCCACCAGTTGTCTGGTGGCATCAGAATGACTTGTGTGCTCCCTTCTGAGGCCCTGGGCCGGAATCCTGAAGGAGCCTGCAGGGTGTGTAGCTCTTTCCCAAGGAGGCCTGTAGGCAGACCCCAAGTTCAGAGAGGGTGAGGGGGCAACAAGGAAAATCAGCCCTGAGGCTGGGGATGGGTCAAACTCCACATGTGGCCTCCAAATAGGCTTTCCAGAGTCACATCATCAAGATGGCTGAAGCTGTCCAGGTTTGAAATCACAGGCACTGACACCAGACACCTACACTGTAGGCCAGGGCTTGGAGTGCAGTCTCAGCAGGGAGCACCCAGGTACTTAGTGCTCTGCCCCTGACCAAGGCCAGTTACAGGTGACTGCGCGCAGAGGTCAGGAGTTAGGGTGTGGATGATGCACAGGACAGGTATTAGTTTCTGGGATTTTTATGCAAAGAGAAACAGCCAGGGTCCTGATAATGCGAATATACTCTCTAGTTCCCCTTGAGCCAGTGGGAAGCAGGCTTGACAGGCATAAAAAATCCAAGTCGGAGACGCAGATGGCTGGGTTGGTGATCACCGGGTTCTTTGAGGACCAGCTGTCTGAGGGCCCAGCTGCTTTCCGGGCACTCACCATCTCATAAAGATGAACCTGTTCCCCCCTGAGGCCTCTGACTCTGGTCCAAGATGCTGGGGTCAGCCTGCAATGTTCTTCTTACATAAAGTAAGGGGAAGAAATAGCTCACCAGAAAACCAAGCACACTCACTTTTGATCCTAGCACTTGGGAGGCAGAGGCAAGCAGATTCTCTAAGCCAGCCTGGACTACAGTGTCACAGGACAGCCAGGGTTACAATGAGACCCTCCCTCAAAAAGAAAAGAACATGGCCACAGAGAGGTTCCTTAAACTCGGTATCCCGTCCTCAATCATCTCTAGACTCAGCTCTCTCACCCAGAACACAGAACCTGCCGCACAGGTGCCCACGCTTTGCCCCCCCCCCCTCCTCAGTGCATCTCCTAGAATTGTGATACCTGGTCTCACTGTGCAGCTCTAGCTTGTCTAGAACTTGCTCTGTACGCCAGGAGTACCCTGAACTTCCAGAGATCTGCCTGCCCTGGATTCCTGAAGGCTGGGATTAATGCCACAACCCTGCCTCCTGGCATTTTTTAAAATGAAAAATTCACAATTACTGTCTGCTGTTAGCCCTACCACCTGAATGTTTCTGCACGAATGTGGAGCATTTGGCTGCCTCCACCTCAAGACTTCTGTGACTCAAACCACATGCTCTTCAACTTCAGGGAATTCAGATGACCCAGAAAAGTCCTGAAGAGGACAGCACGGCAGGCCCAGACTTCCCACAATTTCCCTCCCAGAGTGACACTAGCCAAAATTAAACAGTTAACTAGTGACAACTCGGGATAACCAAATGGATCCTTCAAAGCAAGTTTCGCCAAATAACCAAGTTTCAAACCCCAGGTCCACTCAAGGCACCACAAGTAAAGTAGCAGGCTGAGAATCATTGGCCCTGCAAGGCAGCCCCATCTCTGCCAGATTTACAGGGTTAAGGAACAAGGGAAGTATTGGATCCTGTGAGTGCTGGGGTGGGGACCAAAAATCCAAGAGACCCCATCCTCCTTGAGAAAAGAGGGAGGGTGTCCAACAGCCATGGCTGATAAAGAACCCTGTTCCTTTTCTATCATTCAAACAACACTTTGGAGGATGCAGCTCTTTATTGGAATATTTTCAATTGTGTTTGCAAACATTAACACTGGGGAAAAACAAAGTCTTATTCGATAGGAGCTTGCTGGGTAGCAGCCTCAGCCACCTCTACCTGAGCCTTAGCGGCCCTCATAGGAGACAGCTGGGTGGAGGCCGCATCAACCTCCTCAAGACGACACTGGGTCTCATCCTCTGGAGAAAGGTCCTCCTCTGTGTCAGAAGAAAAGTAGAAGGACACCGGTAAGGACAGTCACCCTTGGGACCTTGGGGGGCCAAATGTTCCCAAACACAGGACTCTGGTCTCCTACAACATTTCTGAAACCCACTTTCCCCAGGGGATCCCTCCCAAGGAGCCAAGGTTTATCAGCAAGACAGCCCTATAACTCCCAGTCCATACCTTGCCTCATTCGCCGGCGATAATTAACCAAGTTGGAGATCATCTGGGAAACGTCTTCTTGGTAATGAGGAGGCCCGAATATCAAAATCTCTGCATCTTCTTCAGGATGCCAATGGGTCACTTTAAGCAAGGTTCGTGATTTTTTCTCGACATGTGGTATGTATTTTCCATTTTTGCCTGAGTAGGGAACAGGAGGTACATGAGGGTGAGGTGGCTCCCACTTCTTGGCACATTCATTCAGAGGTTGAGGCAGCTGGATAGAGGTGGCACAGGCCTGGGGCCACAGCCACTGGACAGGCTCTCTCTATAGGACGTACTCAGGCAAAGGATTCAGGAAAAGGTCACCTCTTGCCTTGCCTCCCCAGGTCACTCACCAAATATCGCTTCCACGAGCCAAGGATTCACATACACTGTCTTTGGATCATCCAGATACCCGGCATGGAACCACTCGGGCAGCGTGCTGGAGTCTCCGACCACTTCAAATAAGGTCCCTTCTTTGTGCTTCAGCTGGACCAGCGACTTATAAGTCTTAAAAGGGACCATGGTGCACCAGGATCGACACAAACAGACTAGGCAACTCCAAATCCAGTAAACCCAAAAGAAGCCTCTCTGGAGAGCTGTATTTCAAGGGCTGTTTGCTAGCCCCTCCCCACTTTTGTCCATCCAATTGGCTCTTAGGCCTTGCTTCCACTCCCAGAAGCCCTGCCTCTCCTGTGGTCTGTACCTAAGAGAGAGGCCTTGTACCTAGACTGGCTTCTGGTCTTCAAATGCTTGTTGGTGCTGGGGTTTAGTAGGTAGCACATGCCTTTAATCCCAGCATTTGGGAGACAGAGAGGCAGGCTGATGATCTCTGTGAGTTCGAGGCCTGGTCTACAGAGAGACTTCCAGGACAGCCAGTGCTAAACAGAGAAACCCTGTCTCAAAAAACAAACAGGGGAGTCAAGGTGGTGGTGGCACATGCCTTTAATCCCAGCACTAAGGAGGCTGAGGTATGTGGATCTCTGTGAGGTCGAGGCCAGCCCGGCCTACAGAGTGAGTTGTTCTAGGACAGGCTCCAAAGGTACAGAAAAACCCTGTCTTGAAAAAAAAAAAAAAAGAAAGAAAGAAGAAGAAGAAGAAGAAGAAGAAGAAGAAGAAGAAGAAGAAGAAGAAGAAGAAGAAGAAGAAGAAGAAGTTTGTTAAAGCCTCCAAAACTACAAGGAAACCCTGTCTCGAAAACCAAAAAAGAAAACAAAACAAAACAAAAATACAGAGCGACTATAAGAGGGCACCGGCTATCTCACTAGTTCCCTCATCTCAGAGTCCCTCCCTCAGATGGGGCTGGGGTTCTAAACCATGCCCCCAGTGCAGATGGGGGTATTTCAAGACAGGGTTTCTCTGTAGCTCTGGATACTATCCTAGAACTCGCTGTCCTTTGTTTTTGTTTTGTTTTGTTTTGCTTTGTTTGAGACAGGGTTTCACTGTGTCGCCCTGGGTATCCTGGAACTTGTTGTGCCCACCACTGCCTCCCAAGTGCCGGGATTAAAGGTGCGTACCACCACTGCCTGGAAGTATTTCCAATAAATACCTTTCCCTTCATTACTTGAACATGGAAGGAATACTCTGCTAAATTTTATATAGACAGGGTCTCACTTTGCAGACTAGGCTCCCCTTGAACTCACAGAGCTCTGCCTCCTGATGCTGAGATTAAAGATGTGTGCCACCACATTTAGCCATCTTTTTTGTTGTTTTAGATTTAAAAAAATTCAATCTTACTATGGCCTGGCAGTGGTGGCATGAGCCTTTAATCTCAGTAAGTGGAGGGCAGAGGCAGGCCAGTCTTTGTGAGTTCAAGGCCAGCCTGGCCCACAGAGTAAATTCCAGGACAACCAGGGCCACACAAAGAAACCATGCCCAGTCCTGAAGCACAAACTTTGCAGGTGACCATGTCCGGTGGCCATTGTGGGGGCCAGCCATGATAAGCTAAGTATGGACAGGTCACCCAAAGGAAATTCTTTTTTTTTGTTGTTTTGTTTTGTTTTGTTTTTCGAGACAGGGTTTCTCTGTGGCTTTGGAACCTGTCCTGGAACTAGCTCTGTAGACCAGGCCGGTCTCGAACTCACAGAGATCCGCCTGCCTCTGCCTTCCGAGTGCTGGGATTAAAGGCATGTGCCACCATCGCCCGGCCAAAGGAAATTCTTTATTTCCAACCATTATCACTTGCCAGAGTAGAACACTGGCCCTCCATAAATTTAACAAGAAGCCCCGAGTCTGAGTAGTTTACCCTGAAGCAATACCTGGTGGCAGAAAGAACCACAAGCTGAGATAACCCGACCCACACCCAAGAGCAGACTCTGCAAAGGGAATGCCTGGCATTCCAAGCACCTTAGATAGAAACACCTACACATTCACCAGGAGACCCTAGACAAATGTGAGCCAATCAGGGGTCCTGAACCTCAGAGACCCCCTCACCCCCCACCTTTACTACTATAAAAAAAAAATTCTAATTGAGCTCAGGGCTCTCCGGTTATTCCAATACATTGGACTTGCGGTGAGACCGAGTTTGCAGAGTTGATAAAAGCTCTTTGCTTTTATGCATGGGACTCAGTTTCCTTGTTGGCCTTGAGGAGATTTAGGCAAAACAGCCACCCCAGAGGTCAGACTGCCTTTGGACTAGGCTGAAAGCTGCTGTCCTTGACGAGTTCCCACCAGCAGACATTCTGGCTTCGGTTTGAGGGAGGGCACAATAACCTAGAATGAACTAGAAACTAGTCCCAAACTCTCCGACCTTTGGCCTCTTTGGACCTCCACAGAGAAGCATTCAGTTAACTGCCAGCCTGGAGACTTCAGGCCTTTGTTTCTTGAGGAAGCAGAAAAGGCAAGTTGCTAGGAACAAAAGAGATTAACGCGTGTCCTAGCTGTACTGACAAAGACGAATGTGCCAGGAAAAAGAGCAAACAGGCCCTTCACTACCACATCTTGGAAAACTGAAGGGTGGAGGGTCCCAGCTGCTGGACGGATCAAGTGTCCTGAATAGGTACCCACTTGACCCTGGAGAGGTGGTACCAGCATGGATGTCCCAGTAACTCAGCAGCAAAGGGGTGGTGAAGATCACGGTGTAGGGTCCTGCCCATCAGGGCTCAAGAGACCTAAGAACTAGCTGGTTTTTTTGAGACAGTGTTTCTCTGTAGCTTTGGAGCCTGTCCTGGAACTAGCTCTTGTAGACCAGGCTGGCCTCAAACTCACAGAGATCAGCCTGTCTCTGCCTCCTGAGTGCTGGGATTAAAGGTGTGTGTCACCACCGCCCAGCAGAACTAGCTGTTTAAGGAGCACTCTGTCCCTTGGGAAGGTAGACTGAGCGTGAGAAGAACCGCCCTGCAAGAATGCAGGGAAAAGATAGCCTTAAGTGGGAAGGAAAGGGTCCCATCCACCCCCACGACAGAAACTGGCAAGGGGTGATGTTAAAACAGAGTAAGTAGTTCCAGTAAAAAACTTACCCCTGGGGGGCTGGAGAGATGGCTCAGAGGTTAAGAGCTTCACCTCCTCTACCAAAGGTCCTGAGTTCAATTCCCAGCAACCACATGGTGGCTCACAACACATATATATATTTTACCCCTGCCTGCAGCATTCCCCTAATCTAGGTGAGGGCACCAGTAGTCACCAAGTCTGGACCGTGTCAGGGCTGAGAAGTTCAAAGGCTGGAAGGATCTCAGATGCTAATGGTAAGACTGGACTTCTGTGGTGTGGTATAAAGGACAAACCCGCACAGGGGCATTCTGATTCCCATTGGCCAGTGATAGCAGACTGGGCATGGCCTCCGTGGCAGCTGAGGATAAGGGTGGTATGGTGATCAGTGACTCTCCTGGTGGCATTTATGCAGGCTCTTGGCAGAGCTGACTTGGGCTGAGCTCTGAAGGGATAGTGCTTCATGGTTGACTTCCCTTGTCCCCTTTGTGGGGATCCCAGTGGCCTCAGGGCAGCTGTTAAGGCTTGGGAGAATAGCCTTCTGTTGCAGACTTGTCTGTCAGGAGGACTCAGCTGCCTCTTTTTGGGCATTGAAAACTTTAAAAGCCATTTTTACCAACTGCTATATGAGAGTTTGGGGAACTGCCACATCCCCCACAGGGACCATACTGTCCACCACGTGGATCTGGTCTGCATACTGTCTAGCTGCTACTGGAACTCCTCGGGAGTGAGTGTGGAGGCCTGGATTCCACAGAGGTCATGCCAGGTCAAATTGTAGGCCTAGGACAGAAGAAGAAACTCCTGGTTATAAACAGAAGGATTAGCAGAGAAGGAGCCCAGCCACTTTTTCTATCTGTGAGTGGTCCTGAAGAGAGAGGGGAGTGTGGACTGGAACAATTCCATTGGCTCCAGCTACCTCTCAGAGAGGCAGAGTAGGGCAGGAGTTTGAGAAGAGACCAGGGAGGGTTCAGGGGGATTAGGCCAACGTGTATTGAAGCAGGGAAGGGTCGGGAGGAAGGGGAGAAGAGGAAGGGGGGTAAGAAGGAGGAAGTTGGCCCTGGACCTTTGTCCCAGGTGGGTGAAGCAGGGAGGGGTGGATGGGGGAGGAATGAGAGGAATGTGAGGGAGGTTGGCCAGAGAATGGAGCCTGTGGCCCCATAGGAGGTGGGTGGGTAGGCAGAATTCAGGGGAGCGGGGGATGGGCCAGTGTCTCAAGCAGTGTGGTCAGGGCTGAATTTTCAGGGTCCCAATTCCCAGATAGGCAGAAATCTAGAGGCACTGTGACCCTAGGCAACAAGCCCAGTGCTGTGAGGCACTGGCTACTGAGGAAAAGACAGGAGCGCAGTACCAGAAACTGTGGGCATACGGGAGTTCTGACCCCGCTTGTCCCCAAAACTTTCAAGGTCACGGAGGATGGAACATTCGAGTCCCATTGACTCGAATTGACATAACTGAAGCCCAACCTTAGTGCACAGAGAAATCAGCCCCAATTTAAAAAGATTTTATAAAAGAATGTTTGGGGATCTGGCTTCCAATGGCAGGTACTCATCTCACAAGTCTATGCCGGGGCCCAATGCCGTGCATCCACTGTGGTAGGCTTTAGGGCAAAAAGAGCGTTTGTGGGATAGTCCCTTGAACAGAATATCTGAAGAAGGGACTCCCAAGGGGCAAAGGCAGGTGTTTGTCCAGGTCATGGGCCTGGCACGCCCACATCTTTGGCAAGACATCCTGAAAATCGGAAGAGGCCCAGGGCTTCTAAGGCAGTGAGTTGGAAGGGACAATTTACACAGTTGAAAGCCGATTTTAGCCTGACAGAGGGCAAGTGTGGGGGAGAAGGGTGTTTTTCCACCATGTGGCCCAGGCTGGTATGACCTCCAGATGAAAAGTTTCTGTGCCCCAATAAGCCTCTCTGCCTACGCAGCAAACCAAATCAGACCAGACCAATCCATTAGAAAAAGGCTAGGTTTGGCAGGAAGTAGTGGCTCACGCCTTTAATCCCAGCACTCAGGAGGCAGAGGCAGGCAGATCTCTGTGAGTTCCAGGACCCAGGACAGGCCCCAAAGCTGCAGAGAAACCCTGCCTCAAAAAAACAAACAGCTGGGCAGTGGTGGCACACACCTTTAATCCGGCACTCGGGAGGCTTAGGCAGGTGGATCTCTGTGAGTTCGAGGCCAACTTGGTCTAAGAGAGCTAGTTCCAGGAGAGCCTCCAAAGCTACAGAGAAAGCCTGTCTCGAAAAACAAACAAACAAACAAAGCCCAAGTTTAATGGGTAAAATGCTCCCAGATGATTTTCCAGCCCTCCAGAGAGGAGACAGGAAAGAGAGACTGAAAAAAACACGTGTCTGTTTTCTGGGGAACAGTTCCAATACCACTGTGGGCATGGTCTTGAGCATCTCTGGGGGAGGGGGTCATCATTTGGCAGACTTTCTGAGATGCAGTAGGGTTTGAAGAGAGATGGGGGAGGGGACTTGGAGTGGAAACTCCACCAGAACATTCCAGAGTCTTTGGCTCTATGGATGCCAGGGGCTGGTGTGGCTCTAGTCCCAAAGGATCTGATGCCCTTTTTCGGCCTCCAAGGACACTGGACACACCTAGTACACAGACATACATTCAGGCAAACATTCACACACACGAAATAAATGAATAAAATTGTCCCAGAAAACATTTTCAACTATGTTACCAGGATGTTGTTTTGACCAGGCACCTCAATGGGCATCTCATGAACTCTATATTCCTGAATTTGGATTCCTTTTGGCATTACAATTCATAGTCTGAAATGTTCACACAAAAAGAGACTGTACCTTGTTTATTTTTTTATTATTGTTTAATTGGCACAAAGTTCACTGAAGAGCATTTGCTTTTTATACAGATTTCCAAATAGAAAAATACATTAACACAAAAAATATGGCTATTTTATATCAAATTTAAACCATTTTCAAAGAGAATACAGGTTTTTTGGGTTGTTTGTTTGTTTGTTTCCAACAGACAAAGGCAGTTCTTGTGTGGGTGTCTATCACACACAATTAACCCTGTGCCAGGTTTGGAGCCAACAAGACTCGCATCTCACTGTGGATCTACTTCTTGAAAGCAGCATTATGCAAGCACTAATTTTATTTACAACAGAACATTTAGAAGGTGATAAACTCCACTCAAGTCTCAGGGTAACTTTGGAAGGCACTGCTATGTATGGCCTGCCCCTTGAAACACAGGACACAGTTCAGACATAGGCAGAAGCAAAGGCCTTAGTGACAACTTTGCTGTTTCAAAGAATCCTTCATTTCAGTGACAGAAAAAGCTTAGTAGCTGCAGCTGATTTTGCTGGAGAGGGGATCAAGGACAATGACAATAAATGATGGATGTTGAATTTTAAAAAAGCCTTTTAAGGGTTGGTGGGTACGAGGGCTCCACCTTTTTTTGGGTGGGTGGGGTCTTTTTTTTTCCCTCAAAACAGGGTTTCTCAGTGTAACCCTGGCTGTCCTGGAACTAGCTCTAGACCAGGCTGCCCTCAAACTCAGAGAGATCCGCCTGCCTCTGCCCCTAGAGCGCTGGGATTAAAGGCTTGGGCTGCTACTAACTGGGTGATGGCTCCACCTTTAATCCCAGCACTTGGGAGGCAGAGGGGGGCGCGAATCTCTGTGAGTCTGAGGCCAGCCTGAGCTACAAAGGAGTTCCAGGACAGCCAGGGCTATATAGTGAGACTTTGTTACTTGAAAACTACCACACGAACATTTTCCTTTATCTTTGTTTTACTAATTACAACTATTACAAGTTCTGCCAAACAATTAGTGTCAAAAAAAACCCCACAGTTTTTACTTTTTAAAATTATAATTGGTGATTTTCTTTTCCCCTTGAAGTTCTTTGGGAATTTTGGTTTACTTTTTTTTTAAGCCTCTTTAAAAGAATTTTGCTCTGAATGAAATACCTTAGGCCTGAAGAAGTAGATTCTATGAAGAACATATTTTTTGTTTTGTTTTGTTTTGTTTTGTTTCAAGACAGAGTTTCTCTGTGGCCGCCTCTGCCTCCAGAGTGTTGGGATTAAAGGCATGCGCCACCACCGCCTGGCTATGTAGAACATTTTAAACCACCCTTTTTGGGCAAGAAGATACTGAGGCAATAGAGCACAACACAAGGTCTTGGCAAGATACACAAGTACACAAATGCCCACATTCCCAGTGAAAGTACAGGCGACGAAACACTTTTCCTAAACTAGCATACAAACACGACTTTTTAAATACAGACGCTGCTCTCCCTCTAGATAGCAAATAAGCATGTGTTTTAATTAAAAAGAAATACCTTCGATTACACTAATGGGAGAGAAAACAAACTGGGAAGTAGCAATGACACCCAGCCTGAAAGTAAAGTCTGAATAGGCGTCGACAAATGAAACTACAGCCTGAAGATGCCAGACAAAAATATAAATATGAAGAGAAAAGCAAGAAATCGTTTCTTAGCATGCATACAGCAGAAGCACCAGCTATGCTCAGCCGTGGACTGAACCAACAGACCACAAATAAACACCTGAGTCTCCATGACCCTGAAGCCAAGAGCCAGGAAATCTGACTTCACTGGCTTCCATTGCCCACCCCTGTCCTACAAACCCTTCCCACCACCACCACACCTATAGGCAACCCAGTCTACAGATATGGCTGTAATTTTAACTTAAGCCTTCCCTTTGACAAATTGTGTCAAAGACAGTGTGCTGAAAGACATTGGTCCAACGTGTACATAATATTAGCATTCAAGTTCTAGAAGGTCAACTATGGTGTGGATTTTTAAATCTGGATTAGTCTTTCATTGCCCAGAGATCCTAATGCTTCTAAGGAGACTCTAATGAGACTCCAGGTCAATCTGTGCTATGGCAGGTGGCGGTGCCATCAGCATTCTACACAGCAGATGCAACCTTTCATGGCTGCAAACTCCTGAATCCCTGAATGACCTGCCACCATGGGCCTAGGCTTTACAAGGCACTTTTGGCTCTGTGAAATAGTTCTCCCAATTCTTGGATATGTTAAAGCTGCAACAAGTTATAAACGGATGCTGAGTTAATGTCTACTGGAGACAAGGAGAAGCAATTGGCATTCGATACAGTGTTATTCACCGTTGTTCATGGTGCGGGCTGGATCTCTGCGGCACAGCTCACAGGCAGGAGCTCTGGGCCGCTGCTGTGCACACCTGGAGTCTTGTCTCAACAGCCACACAGGCCCTTCTCCTTCTCTGCACTTAGCTGATCTGCAGAAGTGTGGCCGTTGGATCGCACCACGCCTTCTGGAATCCAGGACTTGTCGACACACCGTTCCATCCTTTTCATTATCAGGTCCAGGAGCATCTCAATTGCTTGGTTTATGTTCGTCCCATTGGCAGCACTAGTTTCAAAATAGGGGATTCTGGAAGGACAGGAAAAACTCAGTTGACAATGTGGAAGGGGGGGACAGCGACCTTTGTCTATAATTTTTTTAGCCATTCACAATTTAAAGAATAATTTTAGGATGGATAAATATACACGACAACAGTATGACTTCAACAGGGACCAGAGAGGAGGCAACACTATTCCCATGTTCATAACTCAATGTGGCAAATTACAAGGAAAATGAATTCCAGTCCAGTATGTGTCTTTCTCAAACCAGTTCCTTCATATCTCATTCTTCAAAATGGTATCATTTACCAGAGCCTGCCTAAGACAAACTCCGGCTTAAAGGAATGAGGTCATTGTAAGTAGTTTAAGCAATCAATGCAGGGCCGGGTTTGCACTTCTCTCTCTCTCTCCAACAGTTAAGTCGTCCTGAGGCAGAGCATATGAAAACTGGACTTCTATGAGGAGGGAGGGGGTAGGGTAAGGATGTTGTCTAAGCAACCACTGATATCTGCCCCAGAAAATAGATAGACCCAGTGTTTTTCTAAGAGAAGGCAGAGCCAGGTATAGTGGTGCACACCTGTAATCCTAGCTTGGGAGGTAGAGGCAGGAGGATCACAAGTTCAAGGGCAGCCTCAACACAGTAAATTTGAAGAAAGCCTGGACTGCTTTAGACCCTGTCTCAAAACAAAACAAAACAAAACAACTCAGAAGATATAAGAGGATAGGAGAAGCCGGGGAGGGAGGGAGGCTTCAACTTCTCTAGTGTTAGGAATATAAAAGTCCTTGCACCCACAGATCACTAGGGAAACCATGTTAAGCATGCAGAAGTTTCTTTTCAAAGAAGGTGTATCAACTGTTTACCACCCAGAAGGTCAGGAGTGGATGTTGTTAATGACCTGGTGAATTTTGCTATCTATGGAGCTAGACCTCACCCAAATCCCCCCAGAATGTTTATCCTGTTGGACCCTAGAGTCCAAACACCAAGGAGGAGTTGTCCCCAGAGACCACCCCTCACACCACAGCTGATGTAAAAGCATGAGGATTTTATTAATTCTGTCATGACAGGGTCCCTCAGCATTCGGGAAGCCGAGAGACCTCAAATAGCTAGTACAGGCTACTTTTAAAGGAGAAGGCCACAGAAGCAAGGGGGTTGTTCTTTGACTATTATGACTGGCTTATTCGAAGGGGCTATTACCAATAATTGGCTGGAGAGCTGTTGCCAGATCAGATGAGGTAAGAGGTCATTTTGACCCCATTTCCCAGGGACTGAATCAAAACATACGTGTATGGGTAATTGTTCAGAAACTGAGTTAACATTCTAAAGATTATCTTGCCCCAATTTCTGGAGAACGTACGTGCATGCGTAGCTGTTAGGTCCTTGGTTCCCAGGGGAGGAGGGGGCACTCTGGCACAGAGGCTGAGAGGATTCAGAATTGTCAGAAATGGCTTCAGAATTGTCTTAAAGTTTTACAATCCCAGATTCTCTATCTTTACCTTGTTTCTCAGTCAATAGAACACATCCTTGGGGGAAATGCCACATGTATTTTATAGACCAAGTGACTAGCCAGACCTTCCCTAAGCCCTTAAACTACATCATATATGTATCTCTAGAATCCATCTTCTTGAAAGAAATAACAAGTACTTTGAGTTGAGTGTGATGTAATTATGCCTCCTTGTGCACCAGGGATTGTAAACACCAGGAAACTTTCCCAAATCGTATTGCATTTAAATATGCTTACAGCAAACCATCTGGGGTCAGACTCCAGAAGTTTTAGCCAGCACAGCTTACTAAGTCGAACTGAATTGAGTTCTCCTTTTTTACCTCACCCATTTCCAGGCAGGCTGTGATGCTTGCAGCTCACTCCCCCTACACACACTTCCGGTACTTCCTTGTAATAATCCTTAAAGGGTCATTCAGCTAATAAATGACAGAAGTATAAGTGTGTTCTCCCATATATGTCCTCATATGTCCTATAGCCCCTGTTAGACTAGGAAATGTCTTGTTGGATCTACCACCAAGCAACAGCCATCTAACCTTCTGGTTTTTGAGACACAGTTTAACTAGGTAACTCAAATGGATCTTGAGTTTTCTATGTAGTCTAAGCTAGCCTCAAATTCACAATTCTTCTGGTTCAGCCTATGAACTATTTGGATTGCAAATGTGTACCACAACTCCTGGCTTAATTTTTTATACTTTTAAAAAGACTTTTGTTATTTTTAATTATGTGTGTGTGTGCATATGTGTGTATGCATGTGAGTGCAGGTGCCTACAAGGACAAAGGAAGGTGCTGGATCCCAGGAACTGACATTACAGACAGTTGTGAGCCAACTAGAGACCAAATTCTGTTCCTCTAAGGGCAGTAGATCTTTTAACCAGAGTCGTCTCTCCAGCCCTGGATATTTTATACATTTGGAAAGGCAATTAAAAAAACATCACAGTCAGCCGGGTGGTGGTGGTGCACGCCTTTAATCCCAGCAGTCGGGAGGCAGAGGCAGGCAGATCTTTTTGAGTTCGAGGCCAACCTGGTCTACAAGAGCTAGTTCCAGGACAGGCTCCAAAGCTACAGAGAAACCCTGTCTCGAAAAAAAAAATAATAATAATAAAATAAAACAAAACAAAAGTAAAAAAAAAAATCACAAAGTCTAAGCTTGAGAAAGTGAATATAAAGAGCACAGACCGCCTTGCAGAGGGCCTGGATTCAGTTCCCAGCATCCACATGGTAGCTAAGAACCATACGTAACCCCAGTCTCGGGATCAGACACCTGTTTTCCACAGACATTCTATGCGTGTGGTACTTAGGCAGATATGCAGGCAAACCACTCACAGGCAGACAAAATACAGATAAGCAGTGTTTTGTTTTGTTGAGACAGGATCTCTCTACATAGCCCTGGCTGTCCTGGAATTCGCTACTTTGGCCAGACTCAAAGACCCCCGCCCCCTGCCTCTGCCTCCTAAGTACTGGGATTAAAGGTGGTGTGTGAACTTGGCTGGGCTATGATAGTATGTAGCAAGCTTTCTTGGGTCACCAGCCCCCAAATCATGACACAGAGACTTATTATTAATTAGGAATGTTTTGCCTTAGCTTTGAAGGGGCTAAACTCTCTTCAGTTTTCACAATTGAATATACAGTTCTCTGAGAAGTACAAAACAACCATCTTTTCCAACCAAGGGTCATTTATCTACAAGGTCCCTTACATTCAGGGGAGAGAGAGAGAGAGAGAGAGAGAGAGAGAGAGAGAGAGAGAGAGAGAGAGAGAGAGAGAGAACAAACACGAAGGGCCTAAATCAGCCTCAGTATCTCAAGGACAAACCCAGCAGCCCCTTTCTAGTACAGGTGTGTCCAAAAGTGATAAGACTAAACCTCAGGCAATTAAAAATATGCTAATATAACTGCTGCTTGCTTAACCTTCTATAACTGACCCTGAAACTCCCCTTAGCTATGCTTAAAAGGAGCCTGCCTGTCCCTCTCAGGGTCATCGTCATTTTGTACAGGTGAACAAACTCACATGGTGGTATAATAAACACGCTTTGCTCTTGCATACTATTTGAGTCCGGGGTCCTCCTTCAGGGTTTCCTCAAACCCTACAGCTTAGGCGTGTTTCTAGCTAAGTCTTTTTTTTTTTTTAACGTAAATTAGCCCATTTCTGTCCATCTATGTGCTGCCCCAAGGAGGCTCATTTACCTCATCTCCGTACTATCCGTCCTGCTTTCCTGCATGGCTGGCTGGCTCTCCTTTTCTCTCTGTCTACCAGCCCCAACTATCCCTGCTCGGCCTAACTGTTGACTGATCAGCTTTTTATTAGACCAATCAGATGTCTTAGGTAGGCAAGGTAAAACACCAACACATCTTTTCATAGTTAAGCAAAAGCAACAGAAACAAAAGCAACACATCTTTTACACAGTTAAACAAATTTAGCATAAACAAATGCAACCCATCTTTACATACTTAAACTAATATTCCACAACAGTGGGGCACTCCTTTAATCCCAGCAGGGTGGCAGAGGCAGGTAGATCTCTGGGCATTCAGGGCATGCCTGGTCTTCAGAGTGAGTTCCAGGACACAGCCAAGTCACACAGAGAAACTTGTCTTGAAAACCAACCAAACAAAATAATAATAATAATAATAACGTTAATTAAATAAATAAGGATTCTGGGTTGCGGAGCAAGCACTGTGCTCCCAGCACAGCTCTGGAGGCCTCTCCTTACCTAGGAAGAGGTAATGAGCTCACGAGGCCACGGTGCTAAACTGGAGACAGCACACATAGCAAAAACATTCAGACAGAAGTGTCTTCTCTCAGAATCAGTATTCCTGCTGCACAGGGTGGTATGTGCCTGCAATCCCAGTGTGCCAGAGGCACCATTTCTGCACGTTCAAGAGCTGTTTGGGCTAGAGGGAGTTCCAGGTGCCATCCAGGGCTATGGATCTGGAAGACCCTATCTCAAAAAGCTAGTATGCGAGTATGTGTGTGTGCGCGCGCGTATATGTATATGTATATATATATATATATATATTAAGTATTTTTAAAAAGTTTAGGTATGCCGGGTGGTGGTGACGCACACCTTTAATCCCAGCACTCAAATGAGTGCTGTCTGCAAATGAGACAGTCTCCTGATGGGAAGGAAGCTGCTGTCATTTTGTTTACTTGATGTTTTTATTTTCAAACTGTGATGAGTCGGAAGCAGAGGCAGGCGGATCCCTGTGAGTTCGAGGCCAGCCTGGTGTATAAGAGCTAGTTCCAGGACAGGCTTAATAGCTACAGTGAAACCCTGTTTCGAAAAATAAACAAAAAGTTTAGGTATCTAGGCATCAATTCAAAAGGATCATTACTTTAACCAGAGAAAACTGGCACTACCCATTATGTCCACATGATGGAGCTAAAGCAGCACCTGCCTTGGCGCTGTCTTGCTAGACGGCTGAGAAGAGATGTTAAATGTTTGGAGTTTGTGAAGACACAGACAACTTTTCATGTGCTCATACAAATAGATTCATCACAGTTGGGCATGGTGGAACACACCTTAATGCCAGCACTCAGGAGGTAGAGGCAGGCAGATCTCTGTGAGTTTGAGGCTGGTCTAAAGTAGTGAGTTCCTGGCCAGTCAAGGCTGGCCTCGAACTCACAGAGATCTACCTGCCTCTGCCTCCCGAGTGCTGGGATTAAAGGCGTGCGCCACCACCACCTGATTTGAGAAGAGGTTTTAATTGACGAGGGTAAAGGAAATGGTTGGAGAAGAGAGGAAAGGGATGGAGACAGTCTGTGCTCCTTTAATCACAGGAAATAGTTGGTGGAGGTGATAAGCTACTTTGGCTGCTTTATTCAGAATGGAGGAAACCAAGAATGGAACCAAAGGACAACTGAGTGACACACTGGTGTGCTGTGCAGGTGACTGGCCACAACTGAGTGACACACTGGTGTGCTGTGCAGGTGATTGGCCACAGATCTGAGATGAGGACTCTATACCCCTTGCTGGTTAGCAATGAGGGAAGGTGCCCAAAGTTTCTACAATGAAAGCTCAGTTGGAAATCTTGATTCACGCTGAGAAGTGATGGTGCATGTCTTTAATCCCTATACTCAGGCCAGCCTGGTCTACAGAGCAAGTTCCAGGACAGGATCCAAAGCTATGCAGAGAAACCCTGTCTTAAAAACAACAACAACAACAACAGAAACCTCTTCTCATGGGGGTGAGGTGGGGCTGGGGCATAGCTTAGTGGCAGAATGCTCACCTAGTAAGTGTGAACCTTTGGTGATTCCTAGTAGTACAAAACAACAAAACTCTTAATAAAACAAACAAAAAACTTCTCATTTTAACTCATCTTTGTGGTGTTTTCCATGGCCAGCACATGCTGGACACAGGGAAAGACAGTCCCCACAAAACTCAGAACCCCAGTACAACACGAAATAGATCTCTCTGATGCCAGACAGACTGCAGATTCCTGAGACCCAAAATGGAGTAACGAGAAAGGGGCTGATCCTTCTACTCCGCAGGTGCTTGAGAAATGTTTGTTGAAAGATTATTCTCGTCCGCCCACTTTTTCATTCACATCTCAAAAGCATGGGTGATAACCACTGCCTGTATTGCTTCACAGCTGACTTCCTCCTTATCTCCTTGCAAAACAGCCTCCCTTCAGCGCTGGAGTCTGACTTGTGGGGTTTGCTCCTTCCCCTACCCCACCCCCATTTCCTTTCCACACTATTTGAGTGCCTCTCAGGGGGGAGGTGGGGGATACCGGAACTGCCTGTGAGCTCTGCCAGCCTCTAGCTCAGAATCACCCAAGTAGGCTGGTCGGTCACGATAGCTGCATAAGAAAACCACGTGGCAAGCTGTTAAAGTCACCAGCGCCCAGGCCCCCCCACACGTGGTATGCCGCTGTAGCCAGGCTGAGCATTTCCCAGAATTTGATCTTTGGTTAGGGTGGACCGGGCATGAAACGCTCGGCATCTCACTGCATCTCCTTGCCAGAGTAAGCCAGCAGGGCTGTGGGAATTCCTCAGGTGAAGTGGCACTGCCAGAGGCTTGAAGTCATGCCCCGCCCCACCCTGTGTGTCTTCTCTCCTGTGCCTCTCTTTTCCTTTCCCAGAAATCCAGCTCCTGACCCCCTCACAAATCACTGCCCGCCATCTTACCCCACGTGCAGTTCCTAAGCAGGCCTGGAAGAGTGTAACACCTTTCGGTGCTCAAAAGCCTCCAGCTCCCTGTCTCCTTGGCAGGGTGTCAAAGCCCCCCAGAGTCTGGCTTCTTCCCGCCTGGCCAACTTAACCTTCCATTCCCCCTTCCCCCTCCAGGTCAGTCCCATCCTTTAGTCCTTCCTGAACCTCCATCAGACCACGGAGGAACAGAACCGGCTAGCCCTAGCGGTGATTCTGTCTTTGCTTCCTTTGAGCTGAGCTGGGGTTATAGGCAACCACCAGACACCCAGATTGTGCCATGAGTGACAGGTCCAAACTTTAGTCCTTGTGATTGTGGAGCAAGCATTCTAACTGCTGAGCAATCGCTCCATCCCTGCCTCCTACTTTTTCTACATTTGCATTCTCATAAGTCAGGAGAGGGAAGCCAAGTGGGGCAGTAACTTCTCTGGAGTCCACCCTCCCCTTTCACACGCAAGCCCCGTGATGACCCCGCGAATCTCCTACAAGAGCTGAAAAAGGAAGAGAGTTTCTGACCCGCCACTCAAAAATCAGCCTAAACCAAAGGGCATCTTCACCTCTTCCCCAAAGTCAACGCCTGCTCTGTGATACCCAGTGAAGCCTTTCCAACTGCCAGGACTCTGCAACAAGGTATGTAAAGTGGTTTTGACATTTCCTTGCTGAGCACAGAGGATTTCCTTATTCTAAGAGTCTTCTATTAGCCAGGTGGTGGTGGCAGGGGCAGGGGTGGCTGCTCACACCTTTAATCCCAGCACTCAGGAGGCCTAAGCAGAGGATCTCTGAGGTCAAGGCCAATCTGGTCTACAGAGCAGGTGAGGACAGCCAAGACTGGTACATAAACAAACAAATAGGTAAGTAAGTCAATAGGTAAATACATAAATAAGATTATTCTGTTTGCTTGTTGGACAGAAGGCCCTAAGGCCAGCATATCCGCACTCAAGGCTCTTTTCCTGCAAATTCCAAGGGATTGACAAAGGGAGACCAAGATACCAGAGGACGCCCTACCCCGTGTTTCTTTTATAAGTCCCAGAGACACTACCTCTCAAGGCCCGAAAGTGGAGCAATTTACTTTAAGTTCTCACACTGTCATTTCAGTTGCTCACACGCCGCAGGAATACTCACCCATACTTCTCTGCGAGTTCCCTGGCTTCCTCCTCTTTCACTGCCCGCTGGTCTTCTAGGTCACTCTTATTTCCACACAGCACTATGTCCGGGTTTTCACAGTATGCGTGCATTTGTAGCTGGCCTATGGTACAGGAAAGCTTGTTACACACACGTCGTTATAATGTAAGCATGCGAGCAATAGAAAATACTCGTAAAGGAGCTTCTGGAAACCACAAGTGCATATACAGGGTGAAGAGCCGACAGAATATCTCAAAGCATCAATACTATAATCTTAGCCGGGTGGTGGTGGCGCACACCTTTAATCCCAGCACTTGGGAGGCAGAGGCAGAGCGGATCTCTGTGAGTTCCAGACCAGCCTGGTCTACAAGAGCTAGTTCCAGGACAGGCTCCAAAACCACAGAGAAACCCTGTCTCGAAAAACCAAAAAAAAAAAAAAAAAAAAAAAAAAAAAAAAAATACTATAATCTTTAAGACCGAATGGATTATCATTCCTGTCCTTAATAAACACTCCAGTATGTTTATATCAGAGAGATATGGAAGAATATGGTAACCCTTAAAAGTGTGTGTGTGCACACGCAGGTCATAAAATACCTGTCTTGTGAATAACAGAATCAGAATGCTCAGCCCTAAATGGAATGTCTGTGCCACACCACTCTCCCCAAGGCTCCGGGATGTGTGTGGAAGAGGAGCTGGGAAGATAACAAGAGCTAGCTGGAGGTAGTAGATGACTTCAAGGAAACAGTATTTTCCAGACTCGGCAGGACAGACGTACGTATGAACTCAGATTGGGATGGCACGCACAAGACTGTCAGAAGCCGTTTTCCTCCTAAAAATCATTACAAGAACCATCACCCTGGGGAGTCTGCAGAGAACCCCACTGTTATTCTTTAGATCCCTGCTCGATCCCTGCCCTAGCCACGCCCACTCCCATAACCTCTGACCTGCCCTTCCTCTTTCTGCTTCCTTGGCATGTGCACTTGTTTTCTCTGTCTCTCTCTTCTTTTATCTCTCCCCTCACCTTTTATCTCTTTTCTCTGTCTTTCTTTCTCCTTCTTTCTTCCTTAATAAATACTTATGGCTATTTCCTGTGTTTACATGTCTGTTACCTGCCGCCGCCGTGGGCCAAGGAAGCGTGTGCCCTCCTGTAGCCGCTTTCCCATGGCGGGCTCCGCCAACCCGCCCGGAATGGTTTTTTAAGAATAATACCCACACCCATAATTATGTTAAGAATCATTCTATTGATAGAACCTACCCCACCCAATTAAGCTGTTAATGGAGAGCTATCTGTTAGCAGAACCCGCCTCACACTCCAGCTATCCAGGGAACTAGGTGTGGCAACTCGTGACTCCTTGACCTATATGACCTGACCGAACTTAACCTCCTGGCCTATGTGACCTGGACCATGGGGCGAGATCCCGTGCCCCTGCACCCCAAGCCCCTCATCCAGGGGCTATATAAGCAGCAACCCTGATCCTAATAAACGGAGGCTTTGACAAGAACCCCCGCTTAGCCTCCTTCTTCTTTCCTAGCCCATTTATCTTCTAGATAGTGCCCCTCCGTGACCCTGGAGTAACTGACTGCAGGGTGGGTTACAACCCCTAAACTGAGTAACCCACCCAAGGCAATCTACACAAGACCTACCCAGGCTCACCCCACTCAAAATTCCGCCACGAAGGAGGGGGCTCGAGTCCCACTCCTACCTAGAGAACTGTGGGCACTTGTTTGCTGATGGGAGGGAGAGTTGGTTTTCTCCAACAGAGTGACACCTGGTATATTGACCGCACTCTAGGGCAGGCCCCACACCCAGAATCAGTCAGCCAACACACGGGCTGGTTTTGAAGGGGGTGGTGGAGTGGGAAAGAAAAGGGGAAAAAATGAATTTAGATGGGTAGGGAGGAGGTGGAGAGGGGAATGAATACGATCAAAAGACACTATGAATTCATCAAAGAACAAATTAAAACCTTATAAACAGAAAGGACTTCAAAAGAAAAAGAAAATTGGAAGAATTCTTTTTTTTTTTTTTTGAGCTCTGTAGCTTTGGAGCCTGTCCTGGAACTAGCTCTTGTAGACCAGGCTGGTCTCAAACTCACAGAGATCCACCTGCCTCTGCCTCAGAGTGCTGGGATTAAAGGCGTGCGCCACCACCGCCAAGCAGAACTAGCTGTTTAAGGAGCACTCTGTCCCCTGGGGAGAGCGCCTTGGGAAGGTAGACTGTGCGTGTGCCACCACCGCCCGGCTGGAAGAATTCTTGTAAAGAGTTATTTTTATTTTATGTAAAAGTGTTTACTACCTGTATGTATGTGCACTATAAGCACACAAATACCTGTAGAGGCCAGAAGAGGACACCAGATCCCCGGAGTTGCAAACGGTTGTGAGCCAACACATGGGTCCTCTGCAACACCAGTCAGGACCCTTAAACACTGAGCCATTTCCCTGGCCCTGTGTGTTGCTAATCTTTTGTTTTTTAATTAATAAACATTTACAACTGTTACTTTTTTGGGGGCGTGTGTGTTGTTACTTTTTTTTTTCTTTTTCTGAGGCAAGGTTTCTCTGCATAGCCCTGGCTATCCCGGAACTCTCTTTGTAGACCAGGCTACAGAGATCAACTCACAGAGATCCTCCTGCCTCTGCCTCCTGAGTGCCAAGATTAAAGGCATGCACCCATCTGTTGGCTCACAACCGCTTGCAACTCCAGTTCCCAGGGATCTGGTGCCCTCTACTGGCCTGTACAGGCATTTGTGCGCTTATAGTGCACATACATACAGGCAGGTAAACACTTTTACATAAAATAAAAATAACTCTTTAAAAGAATTCTTCCAATTTTCTTTTGAAGTCCTTTCTGTTTATAAGGTTTTTGATTTGTTCTTTGATGAATTCATAGTGTCTTTTGATCGTATTCATTCCCCTCTCCACCTCCTCTCTACCCACTGCCTCACGTGTTACTAATCTTAAACCCTGTTTGTCACTTTTTAAAAATTTCTTTCAACAGTAGTAATAGTTGTATAGAACTTCTTTTTGTTTTTTGAGACGTCCTTTGTTCCCCAAGCTCACTATATAGCCAAGGATGCCCTTGAAGTTCTGACTGCTCCCACCTCCTGAGTGCTAGAATTATAGGTTTGTAGTGCACAGCAGTTTATAGGGCACCAAGATGGTAACCAAGGCTTCATGTGTCCTAAGCAAACACCCACCAGCCGTACTGGATTTCCAGCCCTAAGAAATATCTTTTTACAATGGAACCTACTGACATGTGAAATGCTTCTCATATTTCTGTGTCATCCTAAGGCAGAACCAAGCTATCTAAAACAATTAAGAAGCTGGGTGTGGTGGTGCATGCCTATAATCCCAGGAAGCTGAGGAAGAAGCTCTGTGAGTTCAGAGATAGCCTGGGCTACAGAGTGAGACCTTGTCTTATACAAACAAAAACTATGGTTCAATAACATAGAGTAAACAGTAAAATGACTGTCACCAAGGCCAAGGGGAAGAAGGGTGCTACAGCCCTAGTCATAATGAAGTGGAGAGATGGCTCAGTGGTTAAGAGCACATGTTGCCCTTCCAGAGGACCTGGGTTCTGTTCCCACCACTCACTCCAGGTGGCTCGGCACCAGCAGCTACACCGGCCTCCCAAGGCACCTGCACTCACATACACCTATCCACAGACACCAGTTTTTAAAAAGTGATAAAAACAAAATCTTTAAAAAGAAGAAAGAAAAAGAGTTCCAGGGTGCTAAGTAGCTCCACCTTCCAAAGGAGAATAAACCCCAACTTCTCTCTCTTCACACTCCAGAACAAAGTTGAAGCAGTAGCTGAACTTTCACAATCACATGCATGACCTCGTGTGTGTGTGTGTGTGTTGTCACTATCTGCTCGGAGCTCAGGAGTGTTGACACTTCAGTTCCTCCTCACAAAGCCAGGTCACACAGGTCTTATCAAGAGAAGGTGAAGGAGGAGGAAGTCTCCCCAAGCGGTCACACAGGCCTGAATTTCAGGACATTGTCTTTTGCCTTCAGGGGACAAGTTAGGTCACAAGACCTGCCCAGGCAAGATCAGACTGTGCCCTGTTTCCTGCAGAAGCTGGGCCTCTTCTGCTCTTCAGGTGTTAATGTGCAGCTCCCACACCCTTTAATGCCCAGACACAACTTCCTTCAGGATTTGCTCCATTGTCTCCTCTCCAGGTCTCTTCTGTGCTCTCTTGGCAGCTCCATTGTCCCCTACCATGGTTATGAGCGTCTCCTAGAGTTGAAGCATGAGTCTGTTTACCTGTTACTGGCTGTGTCCCCCAAGCCCCCTCCCCAGAAGTTATCTGACCTCCTTAGCATGCACAATGACCTCCTCATGCATAAATGATCACAGCAGTTCTTACTTCCCAGCGTCAAGGGAAAGTTAACTGATTCACTGACTCTCTGGGTAAGGTGTGTGGGCTAGTAGCCTCAGCATCCCCTGAGAACTTACTGGAAATGCAAATTCTAGTCCTAGGCAACATCTGACCAGGAACGTGGATGTGGGGGGACCACCCCCCAAGAGACTCAGATGTATACACATGCTCAGTTAATAAACCAAAGCACTTCTAAGACTCTGTAAGTAACAGTTCAGAGTGTCTATGCTGGTGATTCTGAGAGTCTTTCTCTCTCTCCCTTCCTCACTTCCTCCCTCTCCCTCTTTTTCTGGCAGGCGGATTTTCCAGTCAGAGTTTCTCTGTGTAGCCTTGGATGTCCTGAAACTCTCTCTATAGACTAGACTGGCTTGAACTCACAGATATCTTTCTGCCTCTGCCTCCCGAGTGGTGGGATTAAAGGTGTGTGTCACCATGTCCAGCTGATGTTATTGTTCTCATCTCTAAATTTTTTTTTTTTTTTTTTTGCTTTTTCGAGACAGGGTCTCTCTGTAGCTTTGGAGCCTGTCCTGGAACTAGCTCTTGTAGACCAGGCTGGCCTCAAACTCACAGAGATCCGCCTGTCTCTGCCTCCTGAGTGCTGGGATTAAAGGCGTGCACCACCACCACCGCCCAGCTCGTCTCTAAAATTTAGTATGAAAACTATGAAGTCATAAGTAATGAAGTAAATTAATCAGTTATCTGAAATTTTAGGTGTACCTAAACCTTTGTAACCTGAGGTGAGATATGGTAAAGATCGGATATGTGTTAGAACAATAAAATAAAATAGCGGTCATTAATAAGAGAGGAAATAGTCCAGCTAAGATGGTTTTCATGGGAGTTCTTTCTTTCCAGGTTTTTAAAAAATAAATATAACTTAGGACTGGAACAACAGCTCAGTGGTGACAAGCACCTGGTGCTTTTCCAGAGGACCCAGGTTCTAGTCCCAGTACACACAATGGTGGCTCACAACTGTCTGTAATTCCAGTGCCAGGGGATCCGACGCCCACTTCTGGCCTCCACAGACACTGCACATGAGTGTACAGACATGCAAGTAAAACACTCACAAGCATAAAGCTAAAATGTAAATAAATAAGTAAAATAAACAACTCTAGCTGGTCAGAAAGAAGGAAGATGGAGGGCTTCACAACAGAGTGGAAGATAAAGGTAAAAGGAAAAGGGGAAATGCATGAGTTTGGAGGCTTAGACTACCTAAAAGTTTTGTCAGGACTCATCCTGGCTCAGGATGGGGAATGGTTCTAGACGTGACCTGCTCAGTTCCTTAACTCGAGGAAGACAAAAGGTGACCCAATTCCATCAGCTCATCTGACCCCTCCTGAGAAGACAGGGAAGGACCCCCAGCAAAGAGAAGGTAGCTTGAGGGGCGCAGTAGTCTGCAGTGGTAAGTCACAATCTTGGCCCGGAGCTGTTTTCAGCCAGAGACATAAACATAGCTACACTCAGGGAGCAGAGCAGGGCCCGGGAAACCCCAGCACTTACTTATCCAGTTTCGGACATTGAGGAAACTCTGCTCATTTGTCAGGTCGAACAGTAGCAGGAAACCCATAGCATCTCTGAAGAACGCAGTGGTCAAACTACGAAACCTAAGGCATGAAAACAGGCGGTCACTAAGTCATGGCCACACTCCCGAGATGCAAAGCCCCAGTGACACCCTCTGCCTCCAACAGAGATTCATCAACAATTCCCACGCTGTTCTTCCAGAAGGTTGCTTACCACTCCCTGATTTCAATGTGAACAGAACGTGGTATTGAAAACTGAGCCCCATGAACTGGAGAACCGCCGCGTAACCTCGGTCTCAGCCAGGGAATCGTTGGACAACCATGAGTTCGCTGGGCCAAAAGCAACAGTGCTAGCTGGCCATGTGCGTTTTCCTCCTGACCCTACAAGGTAATCCTTGGTCTCATGTTAGGCTCTGTAGAAGTCTCTCCTCTCTGACAACAGTTTCGTTGCCTCTAAGGTGGGTATGTTGCTGAGGCAGACTCAACTCTTTCCAGTTAGTCTACCGCCGAGGCTTTACCTGCTGCCCCTGCTCTTCCTCTAGTTGGTTCCCCCCACTTTGCATAAATACACAGTCTGTCACTAGCAGGCAGGCACCACAGAAGGACATGGTAAACATTAACCAGCTATTAAGAAATGGTAGGTTTTTCTCAATTTTTAAAATACATTTATTTTTATTACATGTAGATTGGTGTTTTGTCTGCATGGATGTCTGTATGAGGGCGTCAGGTCCCTTGGAGAAGGAAGCTACAGACAGTTGTAAGCTTTCATGTGGTGGCTGGGAATTGAACCCGGGTCCTTTGGAAAAGCCATCAGTGCTCTTAATTGCCGAGCCCTCTCTCCAGCCCTTTTCTCAATTATTTTATTCAGCGTTCTTACCAAATGTCTTCATTGCTTACAGATACAAACCAAAATAGCAACAGATGGCATGACATGATGTCTAAGATTTGCCCTCCAGGTAACACGGGAGGGAGAGGAGAGAAGTGATGAGGGGGCCATGTGCAATAAGACTGGCCCCAGCACAGTGATTGTGGACTCTGAGTAAAGTCACAGGGATTCAACTGAACCTCTCCTCTTTTGTGTACACTTGAAAATTTCTATGTTTTTTTTTTTTTTAATCCTTTAAATAGGGCTAGGGAGATGGCTCTGTGGTTAGAATGTTTCCTATACAAGCTGGACAAGCAGATTTGGTTCCCCAGAACCCACATAAATGTCAGGTGGGCATAGCAGACCATAGTGACATAGTGACATAGTTACACAGACCAGTGTGTAACTCCGGCACACAGAAGACAGAGGCAGGATTCTCAACACAAGCTACAGACCAGCTGCTTCTGTGAGCACTGGGTTCCAGTGAGAGATCCTGCCTCAGTGAGTCAGGCAGAGAGCAATCAAAGAAGAGTCCTGATGTCAACCTTGGGCCCCACATCACACATGTGCCTGCATACCACAGGAGAACACATACACACACACAGAGGAAAAATCCTTCAAGATGGGCTGGAGAGATGGCTCAGAGGTTAGGAGCATTGCCTGCTCTTCCAAAGGTCCTGAGTTCAATTCCCAGCAACCACATGGTGGCTCACAACCATCTGTAATGGGGTCTGGCGCCCTCTTCTGGTCTTCAGGCATACACACAGACAGAATATTGTATACATAATAAATAAATAAATTTTTTTTTTTAAAAATCCTTCAAGGGGGCTTTAGCTGCCTGAAAGTAGCCTTGCACCAAGATGTGACATCGTTTATTTTAGTTAAGTAACCTGTGGCCTGATTAAGTCATGCCAACCAGATGTTCCATCGGGCGTCCGTATCAGATAAGAACAAAGCAGGGAGCCTTAGGACTCCCTTACAGGTGAGCAAACAGCTAAAGGCAATGGAGGAAAGCCTAAAATGGGAGAAAAAAGAATGAGTCCCAAATAAGAAAGTTTAATTTTAAGGAGATTCCCATCTCTGTTGATCGCAGAGAAAATGTACCTATCGCTGTCCCCTCAGGCTGCCCGCAGACTGATCTGGCCACCCAGCTCACCAGGTGCAGACGAGCCAATTGACGGCCTTTGCCTGCCCAGGTCAGTGTGGCAAGAGCACTGGGGAGGACATGCTTACCTCTCCTGTCCTGCCGTGTCCCATAACTGCAGGTGGATCCTCTGGCCTCGGCCCACAGCTCCATCTGGTCCATTAGCTCTATACACCTAAAACATCAAAGCAGAGAAAAACCAAGGGAGGTTCTGAGATGGGTGGGCTCTTCTTCACATTCTGTTCAACACGAAACTCCAAAGCATTTACCCTTCTCAAGAGAATTGAGTCCCGAACAGGTTTGTACTTTGTTGCAATAACTGCACTTGGGCAGCGGTACCTCCTACTGAGACATCTACCTAGCTGAAGATGTAGCTCAGTTGGTAGAGCCTTGCCCAGCATCCATAATGTTCTCTAGGTTCCATCCCCGGCACCACAAAACCAGGCATGGTAGCACACGGCTGCAATCCCAGCATTGGGAGGTGAGCAACAGAAGGATAAAAAAAGCCTTCCTCAGCTATATATCAACTTGAATTTGAGAACAGCCAAGAATTTATAAGTCCCTGTCTCCAAAAAAACCATAAATAATAAAAATTTTAAAATAAATTGTTTTATATTAGATTTGTGGGGTGGGGAAGGCAGTTTCAAGGTAGGGTTCTCTGTGTAGCTCAGGCTGTTCTAGAACTTACTCTATAGACCAGGCTGGCATTGAACTCAAGAGATCCTCCTGGGGGGTTGGAGAGATGGCTCAGCAGTTAATAGCACTGGCTGCTCTTCCAGAGGACCCAGGTTCAATTCCCAGCATCCACATGGCAGCTCATAACTGTCTGTAACTTCAGTTCCAGGGAATATGACACCTTCGCATCAAATAAACAAGTAATAATTAAAGAAAAAAGAAATTCTCCTGCCTCTGCCTCCAGAGCTCCATTCTCAGGCCTGTCCCTGGAGAGCCCATCCCCAGGCCTATCCCTGGAGAGCCCATCTCCAGGCTTGTCCCTGGAGAGCCCATCCCCAGGCTTGTCCCTGGAGAGCCCATCCCCAGGCCTGTCCTCAGCAGTCGTCCCCAGAGCTTGCTGTGTGAATAGCAGTCCCTGCAGTTATTTAACAGCAGGGCTACCAAGGGCAGCAACACCAGCTGTGCTAATACATGTCTAATCTCTTTTATTGTCCCCCCTCAAAGAATAAACTTCAAAAAGAAAAAAAGAAGAAGGAAAATGTCCCAGGGAGATTCTTTTTGGGTTTAGTTAGTTGGTTAATTTTTGTTGTTTGGTTTTGTTGGTTTTTTTTCTTTTTCTCCCCAAGTCAAAGTCACCTTGCTCTGTAGCCCAGGCTAACCTGGAACTTACTCTGTAGGCTGGACTGGCCTCAGGTTTGCTGTTGTCCTGCAAGTTAAAATTATCAAACCTAACCATTTATAACTCCTGTTCCAGGGAATGACACCTTCTTCTGCCCTCTGTGGGCTCCAGACACACATGTGGTGCATACATACATATAGACAGACACTCATACCCATAAAAGAAAAATTAAGTAATTCAAAAAACTAAATAAATCAACAAACAAAACTACATGCAAATAAATAGCTGTGATGATTACATCACTTGAATATGTTAGAAAAGTCTACTGAGTTCTATACCTTAAAAAGATGGGTTTTAGCTGGTCACTGGTGGCACATGCCTTTAATCCCAGCACTTGAGAGACAGAGGCAGGTAGATCTCTATGAGTTTGAGGCCAACCTGGTCTACAGAGCAAGTCCCAGAATAGCCAAGGCTATACAGAGAAACCCTGTCTTGAAAAAAAGATGGGGTTTACTTGAGAATTACACATTAATAAATCTACTTTATTTAGACTAAAAGAAAGAGGTGGAGATGCCCTTCAGAGGCAGAACACTCACCCAGCATACGCAAGGTCCTGAGTTCAACCATCAGAAACCCATGCACAAAAGAAGCCAGGTTATAAGGTGAGCAGTAATTAGCAAAAACAGCCACCAACACACAGTCAGCCCTAGGGTGTGACAGCAACTCACCAACACACACAGTCAGCCCTAGGGTGTGACGCCAGCTCACCAAAACACACAGTCAGCCCTAGGGTGTGATGCCAACTCACCAACACACACAGTCAGCCCTAGGGTGTGATGCCAACTCACCAGCACACAGTCAGCCTTAGGGTGTGATGCCAGCTCACCAACACTTATACATGCTTTTGAAACATCACTGGTTGAGACTGCTACTGTGTTATTCAGAACAACACAAGGTAAAAGTCTGCACACAGGGTCAGGGAGCAGGAGAGAGGGAGAGAGAGAGGGAAAGAGGGAGGAAGAAAGAGAAATAGGGAGGAAGGAGAGAGGGAGGGAGAAAAGGGAAGAGAGAGAAATGGAGAGAGAGAGAGAGAGAGAGAGAGAGAGAGAGAGAGAGAGAGAGAGAGAGAGAGAGAGAGANAGCATTGCCTGCTCTTCCAAAGGTCCTGAGTTCAATTCCCAGCAACCACATGGTGGCTCACAACCATCTGTAATGGGGTCTGGCGCCCTCTTCTGGTCTTCAGGCATACACACAGACAGAATATTGTATACATAATAAATAAATAAATTTTTTTTTTTAAAAATCCTTCAAGGGGGCTTTAGCTGCCTGAAAGTAGCCTTGCACCAAGATGTGACATCGTTTATTTTAGTTAAGTAACCTGTGGCCTGATTAAGTCATGCCAACCAGATGTTCCATCGGGCGTCCGTATCAGATAAGAACAAAGCAGGGAGCCTTAGGACTCCCTTACAGGTGAGCAAACAGCTAAAGGCAATGGAGGAAAGCCTAAAATGGGAGAAAAAAGAATGAGTCCCAAATAAGAAAGTTTAATTTTAAGGAGATTCCCATCTCTGTTGATCGCAGAGAAAATGTACCTATCGCTGTCCCCTCAGGCTGCCCGCAGACTGATCTGGCCACCCAGCTCACCAGGTGCAGACGAGCCAATTGACGGCCTTTGCCTGCCCAGGTCAGTGTGGCAAGAGCACTGGGGAGGACATGCTTACCTCTCCTGTCCTGCCGTGTCCCATAACTGCAGGTGGATCCTCTGGCCTCGGCCCACAGCTCCATCTGGTCCATTAGCTCTATACACCTAAAACATCAAAGCAGAGAAAAACCAAGGGAGGTTCTGAGATGGGTGGGCTCTTCTTCACATTCTGTTCAACACGAAACTCCAAAGCATTTACCCTTCTCAAGAGAATTGAGTCCCGAACAGGTTTGTACTTTGTTGCAATAACTGCACTTGGGCAGCGGTACCTCCTACTGAGACATCTACCTAGCTGAAGATGTAGCTCAGTTGGTAGAGCCTTGCCCAGCATCCATAATGTTCTCTAGGTTCCATCCCCGGCACCACAAAACCAGGCATGGTAGCACACGGCTGCAATCCCAGCATTGGGAGGTGAGCAACAGAAGGATAAAAAAAGCCTTCCTCAGCTATATATCAACTTGAATTTGAGAACAGCCAAGAATTTATAAGTCCCTGTCTCCAAAAAAACCATAAATAATAAAAATTTTAAAATAAATTGTTTTATATTAGATTTGTGGGGTGGGGAAGGCAGTTTCAAGGTAGGGTTCTCTGTGTAGCTCAGGCTGTTCTAGAACTTACTCTATAGACCAGGCTGGCATTGAACTCAAGAGATCCTCCTGGGGGGTTGGAGAGATGGCTCAGCAGTTAATAGCACTGGCTGCTCTTCCAGAGGACCCAGGTTCAATTCCCAGCATCCACATGGCAGCTCATAACTGTCTGTAACTTCAGTTCCAGGGAATATGACACCTTCGCATCAAATAAACAAGTAATAATTAAAGAAAAAAGAAATTCTCCTGCCTCTGCCTCCAGAGCTCCATTCTCAGGCCTGTCCCTGGAGAGCCCATCCCCAGGCCTATCCCTGGAGAGCCCATCTCCAGGCTTGTCCCTGGAGAGCCCATCCCCAGGCTTGTCCCTGGAGAGCCCATCCCCAGGCCTGTCCTCAGCAGTCGTCCCCAGAGCTTGCTGTGTGAATAGCAGTCCCTGCAGTTATTTAACAGCAGGGCTACCAAGGGCAGCAACACCAGCTGTGCTAATACATGTCTAATCTCTTTTATTGTCCCCCCTCAAAGAATAAACTTCAAAAAGAAAAAAAGAAGAAGGAAAATGTCCCAGGGAGATTCTTTTTGGGTTTAGTTAGTTGGTTAATTTTTGTTGTTTGGTTTTGTTGGTTTTTTTTCTTTTTCTCCCCAAGTCAAAGTCACCTTGCTCTGTAGCCCAGGCTAACCTGGAACTTACTCTGTAGGCTGGACTGGCCTCAGGTTTGCTGTTGTCCTGCAAGTTAAAATTATCAAACCTAACCATTTATAACTCCTGTTCCAGGGAATGACACCTTCTTCTGCCCTCTGTGGGCTCCAGACACACATGTGGTGCATACATACATATAGACAGACACTCATACCCATAAAAGAAAAATTAAGTAATTCAAAAAACTAAATAAATCAACAAACAAAACTACATGCAAATAAATAGCTGTGATGATTACATCACTTGAATATGTTAGAAAAGTCTACTGAGTTCTATACCTTAAAAAGATGGGTTTTAGCTGGTCACTGGTGGCACATGCCTTTAATCCCAGCACTTGAGAGACAGAGGCAGGTAGATCTCTATGAGTTTGAGGCCAACCTGGTCTACAGAGCAAGTCCCAGAATAGCCAAGGCTATACAGAGAAACCCTGTCTTGAAAAAAAGATGGGGTTTACTTGAGAATTACACATTAATAAATCTACTTTATTTAGACTAAAAGAAAGAGGTGGAGATGCCCTTCAGAGGCAGAACACTCACCCAGCATACGCAAGGTCCTGAGTTCAACCATCAGAAACCCATGCACAAAAGAAGCCAGGTTATAAGGTGAGCAGTAATTAGCAAAAACAGCCACCAACACACAGTCAGCCCTAGGGTGTGACAGCAACTCACCAACACACACAGTCAGCCCTAGGGTGTGACGCCAGCTCACCAAAACACACAGTCAGCCCTAGGGTGTGATGCCAACTCACCAACACACACAGTCAGCCCTAGGGTGTGATGCCAACTCACCAGCACACAGTCAGCCTTAGGGTGTGATGCCAGCTCACCAACACTTATACATGCTTTTGAAACATCACTGGTTGAGACTGCTACTGTGTTATTCAGAACAACACAAGGTAAAAGTCTGCACACAGGGTCAGGGAGCAGGAGAGAGGGAGAGAGAGAGGGAAAGAGGGAGGAAGAAAGAGAAATAGGGAGGAAGGAGAGAGGGAGGGAGAAAAGGGGAGAGAGAGAGAGAGAGAGAGAGAGAGAGAGAGAGAGAGAGAGAGAGAGAGAGAGAGAGAGAGAGAGAGAGAGAGAACAAACATACACTCACAGGGACACACATCAGACATATGATTAAAAATAAGTATTTTTTAAAAGGAAAAAAAGTAATATGCACTTTAATTGTGTCCAAAGGGTTTTTTTTTCTTTGGTTGGATTTTGGTTTTTCAAGACTCTGGGTCTCTTCAGAACGTATAAATCCTTCACCTTTTAGGTTTTGTTTTGATTTTTTTGAGACAGGGTTTCTCTGTGTACCTTTGAAGATTGTCCTGGTACTAGCTCTGTAGACCACACTGGCCTCTAATTCACAGAGATCTGCCTGCCTCTGCCTCCTAAATGTTGGAATAAAGGTGTGCGCCACCCTGGCTCATGTTCAGAGGGTTTTATAGGAAGAGTCCTGAAGATTCCTAGCTACTTTCCATGGACTGAGTACAACAACACCCTTTCTCTTTGTTTGTTTGCTTGCTTTGTAGACCTTACTGCTTTCAAACTCACAGAGATCTTCGCATCTCTAACTCAAGAGTGCCAGAATAAAGGTGTGCACCGCCACACCCAGCCACATGTTCCTGTGCTAATTTTAGGCCCAACTTTTGGCTTAAGTACTACAAAGCAAACAAGGTAGATCTGTTAATGTGTTGACACAGATTAGATTCTTGTGAAGGATGTAGAACTTACCACTCTCTTTTCCCTGAAGTCAATGCCCACTGTGGTGATGAATTTGGAGTTGAATTTCCCATCTGTATACTGGTACAGCACACTGGTCTTCCCCACTCCAGAATCTCCCAAGGCTAAAAACTTGATAAGGTAATCATAATCCCCATCCGCCATGATGAAGGTCTCTGGGCTTCACCTGTAAGACACAAATCAATGGAGTTAGCAATGTCCACCCAAAACACTAGAGTCAGGGCTGGTGGGATGGCTCCGTGGATGAAGACTTGCTGCACAAGGTTGATGACCTGAGTTATCCCTGGAACCCACTTAAAGACAGGACAGAATCAAATCCACAGGGCTGTCTTCTGACCGACACATGCATGTCATGGCATGTGTGTGTGCATCACACACACTAATTTTTTTACACACTAATTTTTTTTAGTGATTTATTTTCATTTTATGTGCATTGCTGTTTTGCCTGCACATATGTCTTTGTGATGGCATTGAATTCCCTGGAACTGGAGTTACACATAGTTGTGAGCTGCCATGTGGGTGCTGAGAATTGAACCTGGGTCCTCTGGAAGAGCAGACAATGCTCTTAACCCCCAGCCACCTCTCCAGCCCACACATTAATTTTTTTTAATTAAAAAAGAAAATATATTAGAATTTTCCATTATTAACGTGACACTATTCTGTCCAATAAGTACTTCTGTTTGTTTGCTTGCTTTGTTTGGGAATTTGTCTGTCTGTCAGGGACTTTGTTTACCTATTTTTGAGGCAAGGTCTCAGGTAGCTCAGGTTTCCCTAGCCCTCCTGATCTTGCAGCCTCCATCTCCCAAGTGCTTGGATTTATAGACTGTATGGACCACTGTGCCTGACTCTCACAGTGCTTCTATGTGGCATCCCCGTGCGGGAGTCTGTGAGGGAGAGTAGTGCAGGGCTCACTGCCCCTGAGAACCTAGTAACTTCTGGGTAAAATGCTGTAGGAATAGTAAATAACAACAGTTATATACTATTATATATATATATAACAGTTTAGGATTTTTAGGTGTTTTGTTTTTTTTTTTTTTTTTGGTTTTTT